ACCCAAAGTCAAAAGGCTTCTCTGTCTTTTATCCTCATTGAAACCAGTACCCATTCAAAATGGGCCAAAAGGTGAGTGGGGTTTGGTTCACAGGCCTCTGGGATTAGAGGTATCCAACAACTTGTCGACGGACTTAGTCATTTATTTTTTAATGGCCTTCTTTATGATTTTACTGAGAAAGTTCAACCTGAAGTACACAGTGTTATATTATAAATCTGTAGGGAAAACTACGCTCAAAATAAAATTAACCTTTGATCCACTTTTTACGTGTGTGTGTGTGTGTGTGTGTGTGTGTGTGTGTGTGTGTGTTTGGGGGATTGAACCTAGGACCTTGCACATGTGAGGCTAATGTTCAACCACTGAGCTACACTCAAACTCTCATTCCTCTTTGACTACATGAAAAATATTCTAACCTATATATATGCTAATTATACACTAAAATAAGCTTCTGCTCTGTAGGGTTGCTATCTGGTGGAAACAAATACAACTAGTTGGATTCATGTGACACTTTAAGATTTATAATAATTTCAATTAGAAACATAAAAAAGGAGTTTTTGAATCTGCACAGGAAAGGGAAAAGAGGATTTACTGATCATCATCATCCATTCTAGCTCTTCATAGTCAGAAAATTAGTGCCCTGGGGTTTTTGCTAGAGAGTCCATGGCAAGTTCAGATCTTTCTCACAAGGAAAGATGGTGCTCACCAAGTCTGGCTCTCCGGCTCGAGACACTGAACTGTGTACTCGCTGGCATCACTCAAAGCCTATAGAGAAACAGACCTAAAAAGAAACCCCATCTAAGCACATGAAACAGGCATAGTCATTTAGTGTGTTCCAGAATTAACTCTTTCCCACTTTGACACAGTTTGCTWTCACTATCCAGTAAAAATGATCATCTCACAGCCATTCATACTTACGGTGGATATTTCTCGGCAGGCCCTCCTCAGTCSCCCCCGCCCAATAACCCTATAAAGTAGGCATCATGATCCCCATTTTATAGATGAGGTGACCCCGGCTACAACAAAGGGAATGATTTGCCAAAGGTCACACAGTGAGTAGGTGGCAGATCAAGAGATGTGAGCCCAGCTCCATCTAACTCCAATCTCAYGCTATGTATTTTGGATCTTTATTATTTGACAGTCTGTTTCTACTAAAGTGACTTTCTTACAAATAAACAAACAAACAAATACATAAATAAATTTTCTCTCTGAAGAACTGCAAAATCTTCTTGGGCGAAGAATTGAATTCCACCCACAATGGCTCGTCTCAATTAGAACCAAAGCATAAACGGCAGGTTCTAGGCTCTTCTAAAGAATGCCAGAGAAGATAGAGCAGTCTGCTTGTGTGAGGGATCCCACTTCTAATCCAGAATGCAGGCAATGTCACAACAGGGATCCTCAGTCCCAATCCCCTGTCACCGGAAGCATTGTTAAAGGACCTCCCAGAGATTGGTTTTATTTAAAAAGAGAGTGAAAACAGAAAGGGAGAAATTATGTAGCAGTCACCTTAGAGTTTTGTCGTGTAGCAGCACAAAAGCAAGAAAATCTATTCTTCAGCTCCCCTGAGCACATAAAAATCCATAATTTCCCATGGTTTATGAACTTTTCCATCGGTCCACTCCCAGCTCACACCAACATCCTCAATTTGCGTGACAGCATAATGGAGCCTGGGGGCGGCTCTCTCTGGCCTCTTTGCCTTAGGATCAGCCCACACACCTCCCACACAAGAATGGCAGAAGGTTTATCCTCTCTGTGTTTCTACTTTAGAAAGGGAAACTCCCCTCCCCCAGCCAGCTCTYGGCTGGGAACATGGCTACCTGAATTTCCCACGGGCTCCCTGGCAGCAGGTGGGACCATGTGATCATGTTCTAGCTAAGAGGACGCAGGCCGAGAAGTCTCTGGAATCGACTTCCACAAGTGACCCTGAGTGTGTGTCTGTCCTTTTGAAGGACCTTGGGCTCTCTCTGGACTATTGACTTAGGTGAAAAAAAAAAAAAATAAAGCCTAATGTGTTTTCTATTAAAAATGTTGATCCCATTCTAAGTAGGATTCACTTTAAGAGGAAATATCTGGTACCAGAAATAATCAGATAAGAAGGCGCTCCTCTATGATTCCAGAATTAATCCCAGGCAATGCTCAATGCCAGGGATCAATTTCGTTCCTTCCTGGATATACCCCATCCTAAATCTCTCAATTCCAGGGACTGACCATCGGTCGCACCTGCTCTCTTCTCCTCCCTATTCCGACCCAAGTGAAATACACTGTCAACGTACGCAGCAACCCAAGATAACCACATGTTCACAGCTGAATTTTGACTCTTACTCAGCTAACAGTTCCATGGCAAAGCCACCCTACAGAGCTGCCCTACCCTGGCAGGTAGTTTGGAGACAATTGTAACAGCTGATTCTTTCCTGAGAGGTAATCCTGCACCACATTCTGGTCCAAGCATCTTAAATATTGTAATGACTTACAGCTGTTCAGCAGCTCTAAGGTGGGTACGGTTATTGGCCCCATTTTACAGATAAAGAATCTGAGGTACAAAGAAAGTAATTAAGTCTCAAAGTCATGATTCAACCCCACACTAACTTACTTGGTAGCCTCTGCACATGCCCACAGGGTGAGGGGAAAGAAGATGGTTTACAAGATTTTTTTTTTAAATTGGGCCAGGGGAGCCGGGGTTGTGGCTCAGTGGTAGAACACTTGCCTAGCATGCATGAGGCACTGGGTTCGATCCCCAGCACCATATAAAAATTAAACAAATAAAATAAAGGTACTGTGTCCATCTATAAATAAAAAAATATTTTTAAAAAAGTGGGCCAGGGGCTGGGGCTACAGCTCAGTAGCAAAGTGATAGCATGCCTGAGGCACTGGGTTCAATCCTCAGCAGCACATAAAAATTAACAAGCAAAATAAAGGCATGATGTCCATCTACAACCACAAAAAATAAAAAGAAAAAAAATGTATTTAAAGTGGGCCAGGTGTGGTGGTGTAGGCCTGTAATCCCAGCGGCTCAGGAGGCTGAGACAGGAGGATCGTGAGTTTAAAGCCAGCCTCAGCAACTTAGCAAGGCCCTAAGCAACTTAGCAAGACCCTGTCTCAAAATAAAATATAAAAAGGGCTGGGGATGTGGGTCAGTGGTTAAGCACTCCTGGGTTCAATCTATTCTCCAAAAATAATAAATAAATAAATAAGAAAGGCACTCCTATCTCTAAAGTATCCATACTTCATTAGAAATTTTAATTCGTTCTTTCTCATTACATCAGAAAATTCCTATCATTTCCCAGACTTTGAACAAAAGGGTCTCCTGCTTCTGACGTGCCAAACCCACACATTCCAAAGTGACTTTCCTCGCCATCAATAATGGCAGAGCTCACAGCCCAGGAGAGCAGCTGCAAAAAAAAAAAAATGTTTAAAAGTCACCCCTGACCTCAGCAAGACACGAAGACAGAAACCCATTTGTGGAATTGAAAGGCAATCTCAGAGAAGAAATGACACATTCGGGCACCAGATTGCCACTGGTATTTTCTTTGGGGGCGGGGGAGGGGTCAGACAAAGTTCTAGAAAGCGAACCAAGTCATTTGTACCTGGGCCCAAGTGTTTGCCATTTAAAGGGATCTGGGAAGTCCTCTGGTGGGTGGCATGAGATTGAGGCTCCAAATCTTGGTAAGAGAGGCAGGGGCATTGAGTCTGCCCTGCCCCAGATATCAGAAAAGAGCCAGCATCTCAGAGGACAGCAGTGCCATGCTCCAGCGTGTACACAACTCACAATGCCACCCCCACTCACCAGGGATCTCTTGGCTTTTCCCTGGAGAGTCAAGGCAACCACTAAACCTTGGTGAGTGCCAAGTCATATTTCAAACCTTCCATCACTCAAGTGCTTTCTTCTTCTTGTCTAAACCCAGTGTGCCAGGGTGTTCAATTGACCCCCAGGTCACATAGTAGAAATGAGCCCTTTTTCATCAAACTCAATTGCTCTTGCCTAAAAGTGGGGGTGGAGGGGAAGCAAACAAAATTTCCAGACCAGAGGTTGCAAATTCAAACACCTACAGGGGCCAAAAGGGGACGAAGCAGGCCAGGTGGGAATGAACTGGGACAAAATGGTGAACATGAGTGCCCCCCCCCGCCCCCAGCTACAAAAACAGCTGCTCTCCGTTCCAAATGATTGCTCTAACATCAAAGGGAGACTATTTCTCAGCAAAGTAGAAGTTGGAAATTCAGATGGATGTGAAACCTCCCCGTTCTAAAATGCTGACATCTAATTCACAAAATGTTTAACCTCTCTTAGGGGATAAACAAGTCCTTGCCTGAGATGGCTTTGGAGAGCCCATTTTGTAACCCCGACACCACCCAAGGTCACTTTACACCTGATCAAAATAGGTTGGGTATACCTGGCTAGAGTCCAGGGTCTCAGACCCGATACAAGGACCCAGGTAACTTGGGAGTCTTTCCTGTTTCTACCCACAAGATAGAAAGGACAATCTAAACCAGGATCTGAGAGGCACCCCATCTGGAACCACTTCTTTCAGAGGAGGAGGCGGCCCAGGGGATACCACAGTTGCTTTTCTAGGGGAGGCACCATCTGCAGAGGAGGCAGCCACCTGCGGAGACCTCTGCCAAGCAGGAGAAGCAGCAAAACTTCCCTGTGCGATGAGAACGGGTAATAAGCAGAAAAGGGGGCAAGAAAGGTCCTCCCAAAAAGGGTCTGCGGAGACTCAAGCAGGATGGGACCCCTTTCCACTCTTCCATTCCTGGGAAAGGACAAAGGATGGATGCATTTCCTCCACTTTTAGAGCCTCCAGCTCCACGGGGCCTTTCCTGAATGGAGCATCACTGTCCCATACACATACACTTCCTAAAAGGACCCTTTTATGGTGAAGAATTCCTAGCCTGGGAGGTCACTCTGACAGGCGGGATTCCTTCCGCTCTACCAACTCCATCACTTCGGTCAAGTCTTTTTTCACCCCCTCCTCCCACCAACGGCATCCCCAAAGCCCCRGACCTACCTTGACACTGGAATCCCTGCTTCCCGAAGCCCCTGCGAAGGCAGAAGGAGGCATGTCAGCCAGAGGGGCCCAGCCACCAGCTAGTTCTCCCACAGTCCCCCGCTCGCCTCCCCTGCCCTCTAGGCCAGGTGCAATCTCCCAGCCACAGGCGGGTGCCCAAGAGCCTTCCGCCTTGGGGAGGTGGGTGTAGGTGGCAACTCGGCGGTAACCCCCACCTTCCGTCACCGGAGCAAGACAGAGGGGACTGCGACCACCAGGTGGCAGGATGGGGGCGTGGATGGGGGGGGTGGTGAGCATTTCCGTTGGAGTGGGGGCGGAAGGCAGGCTAGAGACCTGCCGTAGAGATGCCCCGAGTGCCCTCGGGCAAAGAGAAGAAATACAGACCCAGGCAGAGGGAGGAAGAGAGGGACCCCGAGGCAGTGGCGGTGGCCCCTGGGGACTAGGAAGGTGAAAAGGACGCCCCACGCCTGAAGGGACAGGGAGAAGAAAGGGCTCCCCCCGCAGTGATGTGAGGGGAGGACTGATCAGTGGGCAGGGAACCCAGGCCCTGGGGAGGCGCAATAAGAGATAACCCCGGGAACTGCTCTGGGGACTCGGAGGAGGAAAGGATGTCCCATGCCCTCTGGGAGATAGGCAGAGGACACCTCCCCCCGGGGTGCTGCCCCGGGAAAGGAGGGGTGAGGGTTGGGGCGCCTGGAGCCCAGAAGAAGGCAGAGTGGTAGGGAACCCCAGGAGAGAGGGCACCCGAGGGGCTGCCCTGCGGAGGTGGGACAGACACTCGGTGCTCCGAGCCAGCCGGCGGAAAAGCGCCCGCGATGCTGCCCCTAGGTGCTCTAGAGGCTCCTGGGGGCAAGAGAGGGCAGGAGGTGCCTCCCAGCCAGCCGTCTGGGACCAGAGGGCAGGGCACCTGCGGGACTGTCCATCAGGGAGTTCGGGCCCGAAGGGTCCAGGGGAGAGCCTGGGGCGAGGGGTACCGGCGTGGCTTCTCCCTCGGGAGCACCGAGGGCTCGGAGAGGGGGTCCCCGCGCGCGGCACTGCCCTCGGGGGGCCCCGGGGAAGGTGCCCTGCTCTCACCAGATGAAGTCGGTGCAGTGGCTGCAGAAGGTGGGCTGCTTGAAGAAGCGGGCGGTGAATTTGTGGTTCTTCACCTCGTGCACGTTCTTTTGCCGGAGGGCGCCTTTGCGGGCGAAGCGCACSGTGCTCTCCTCGCCCTCGTTCGGCGGCGGCCCCGCAGCCGGGTCAGCCATCTTGCGTGCGGGGAGCGGGAGCCCGAGAGGTGCCGGCCCCGGGGCCGCGGGACCGCGGGCTGCGGGGCCCGGAAGGCGCGGGAGGAGGCGGCCGCTGCTGCCGCCCGGGGCCGCGGGCGCTTCCCCTGCGCCGGCTCTGGCGGCGGCGGCGCGCGGAGCTGGGCTGTCACTCGCCCAGCTGCTGCCGCTGGTCCAGCTGCGCTTGGCACCGCTGGCCCCAGCTGCGGGGGAGGGAGGCGGAGCCTGGCCCGGGCTCCGCCTCCCTCATTTGCATCGCGCCCAGGCCCCGCCCAGCGCCGCCAGCTGCTTTACATATTGGCACCCCCCGCGGCTGCCGGCCTCCCAGCCAAGGGTTAGCCGCAGCGCTGCGGCGCGGGGACCGCAGCCTGCGTTCGTCTGCTCCGAGCCTCGCCCCCTACCCAGTCTTCGGTCCTGAGGTCCTGGTTTGCTTTAAGGAGATGAGCACCTCAGTGCCTCCGCCCTGGGGAGTAACGACAGCGGAAGGACCTTGGGGGATTAGGAGGGGGAGAAGGGGAGCCGAGGGCCCAGCAGATTCCACCCTGGCCTCTGCGGAGAGACTGGTACCCATCCACCCCCATGCATCCCATTGGTCATTCTGCACGCGTCTCCTGGAGGGATGGGCTCTCTCTGTCACTCATCCGGAAAGGCCTGTGGCTGCACACCCTTACACACACACATACATCCACACGTTCTGCAGAGGTAGGGGAGGAGCGATCTTTGTTTTATATATATCTAACTCCACCACAAAGAAGATTCTGGGGTTTGCTTGCCTGAACATGTAGAAGAAATCTCTCCCTATGTTATGTTCTTCCCTTCCACGGAGACTCTGTTTCCTCAACTGTAAAATGGGGCTAATAGAGATATTTAATAGTTCAGTGTTTCCTCAAATTTAATTCACTTGGGACTCATCTTTACAAATTCTGGTCATATTTGTGCACCATTTTTTTTAACAAGTCTATCTGGTTTGATCTATTCAAATATGAGTAGCAAGAGGATTGTGAAACCCTTTCCTGTTACTCATCCACCCAAAGCATCTAAGACAGAGGCCTTCTATTACCTGCTAGAGAAAAGATTGGCAAACGTCGGAGAGATGCCCAAGACACATGAATAGACAACTCAGTAGACTCTCTCCTTGATGCATCCCGGAAGACAGGGACGAAGCTAAGAGGGTGGTAACTGTCTGGAGGTGCAACGGGGAGTTATCCAAGGCCCTGTCCATACCCTGCACTTTCTCTCTCCAATCCCTATCATCTGGGAATGAAGCACTGCTTTGGACAATGAGCTCCTTCAGTTGGCTGAGATGCTGTGCTAGAGGAAGCTGCTTACCATCATGTCACTGGGTGTCCGGCTCAGAGTCTGACACCTAAAAGCCAAACAAATATTGGTTGAAGGAGTGAGTGGGTGAACAGGTGAGTGAACAAATATTTAAAAGCCAGCACCCATTTATCCCTACCCATGCCCAATATGTGTTCCAAGGCACTAAGCGTCAGGTACTGGTGTTGTCTTATTTAGTCCCAAGGACAACCTTATGTAGATCCAGTAAGTCTCATTATGGATAAGGATAGCGCAGCGTGGAGTGATTAAGAGATACACCCACCGTCCCACTGTTGTGGAATGGTGGTTGGACGTTCCTAACTACAAAGCACCTGGATGACAAAGGGGCAAACCTGAGTAGTGACAGAAATCGGGTCCCATTATGACAATTTTGCCTGGAAGCAACCGAGCGGTAAGTCATTATGAGGTAGCCTGTGGAGCGCCACCACTATAATAATAGAATGTCCTTCCCCTACATAGTAATTCAAAGGTAACCAGGAAAAAAAATAGCCCTCACTTTTAAGGTTGACATGTTTGGGAAACTGGATGTGCCCGTCTATTATTAGTCCTGTAAGAGGCCCCGCCACCTCTCAGGGAGGCTTGGGGAAACATCCCAGGAGACGTTGCTGCTAAAGTAGATTTCCTTTGAACCCCTGATCTGGAAGCTCACAGCCCACATCCTGCCTTTTGAACGAAGTGCCCTGGATGACTTTGGTCTGTAACAACAAACAGAACCTCATGGAGCCTGAGCCGGGTGATGCAGGGACTGGTGGGCTGTGAAAAGCTGTCAGTTCCTGGAGGGGCCCAAGCCCAGGGTGGGGAAAGAGGTTCCCATTGAACCCAGTTCCTTGTAAGTCAGAAGGTCTCCAACGCTGCACCGTGGACACCCTTTTTAACTATCCCAGTGATATATTTTTTTTTCAATTCACGTGTTTATATATTTAGAATTTCACCTAAATACCCAAACTCTAACTTCTCTAAGAAAAAAGATAAAGATACAAGTAAATGGAGCCCTGCGTTCCTGAACTCGCCCATTCATTTGTTCTTTCATGAAATGGACGAACTATTAAATAAACCCGAGAGAAGCCCTTGCTCTTGAGGAGTTCATCGTCTCATGGGGGAAGAGGGTGAGCCAAATCACCTAATCGACCAGCAAACCTATACCGGGTGCTAAGGAGGTTCCTTCTGTAAAGAAAGTCGTAAAAAAATAAAGAATAACAGGAGCCATGGGAAAACTTTATAATGAGGGACATTAAAGCAAAGATTTGAATAAAGCCAAGGGGTGAACCAAAGGCCTGTTGGGGGGGTAGAATGTTCTAGACAGAAACAGTAAATGCAAAGGAAGAGCCTGCTTGTCATGTTGAAAACACAGCAAGGCCTGTGTGGCTGGTGTGGACAGAGGTGAGAGCACTTCTAAGACCAGGTTAGCGCCTTGGGGACGGGAGTTTGGGTTTCACTCTCGTGAAAGGAGGCCTTTCGGGGTGTTGAAAGCAGGGACGTGATCTGAAACAACTTGTGATTTTTAAAAGATTACCCTGCCGACGAGATGGAAAATAGATTGTAGGGGAGAAGGGGGAGAAGCAGAGAGAGAGAACAGAGGAGAGGACATTTGAGTCGATAAGGCAACAGGATGTGACATGGTACCACATGAAGCTGAAGGGCCGTGGCTCCCTCGAGGCTGACATGGGCCCTCCAGGTCACCAGAGCCCCCACCTCCCTGGCCCATTCTTCATGAAGGAGTGAACACTGACCTGAGAGACGGGTTGCTCTGGCTGGGAATGAAGGCCCAAGATCTCGTTAGTCCAGGCTTCCTGCTGATGATATGTTTTCAATTCCTGTGGCTTCCCCCCCCMAAAAAAAAAAAATTATCACAGAACTGAGTGCCTAAAAATAGCAGAAATGGATTGCTCAGCCGGGTGCGGTGGCGCACACCTGTCATCCCAGCAGCTCGGGAGGCGGAGGCAGGAGGATCGCGAGTTCAAAGCCAGCCCTCAGCAACTTAGTGAGGCCCCCAAGTAACTTAGCAAGATCCTGTCTCTAAATAAAATATTTAAAAGGACTGGGGATGATGATATGGCTCAGTGGTTGCATGTCCCTGCGTCCCATCCCAAGTACAGAAAGAAAGAAAGAGGAAAGAAGAAAGAAATGAAGGAAGGAAAGAAAATGAAATATTTTGTTCATGGTTCTAGAGGGCAGAACCTCTAAATCAAGTGTCACCCGGCCCAGCTCCTTCTGAAGGCTTCAGAGGAGGGTCCTTCCTGATCTCGTCCAGTTTCCGGTGGATGTCAGCCTTCCTTGGCGTCCTTGGCCTGTGGCCACATCGTCCTTCTTCCTCTGTCTTCTTATCAGCTCCTCCTGTGTGTGTCTGTCTGTCTGTCTTCTCTTCTTCTGTCTGTCTAATCTCCCATTTTCATCTCTTATCAGGACACAGACCATCCGACTAAGGGCTCACCCAGATAATCAGGGATGATCTCTTCATTGCAAGATCCTTAACTGAGTGATATCCAGAAAGATGCTTTTTTCCAAACAAGATAACATTCAGAAGTTCCAGGAAGTAGAACACGTTGTGGGCAGCACTCTTCAAACCACAGCATCGTTGCACCACCCCGGGGCCAGTCACTCTGTCCTTCTGGGTCTCATTTTCCTTCCCTGTTCAATAGTGCAGGGATGGAGAGATTGGCCCTCCAATTCTTTCATTTTAGGGTTGTGCTCTCCAGTGCAGTAGCCACTTGCGACGGGTGGCTGGTGAGCATTTGAAACCTGGCTAGTCTGAGCTGAACATAAGGATAGTCATATGTGTGATCACCCTGAACTTCAAGCATGTAGGATGACAAAGAACGTGAAATTTTAATGATGATTTTTATCTTCACTTGTTTTTTTTTTTTTTTAACGCGGCTACTAGAAAAATGCAAAATTGTCTACGTGGCTCACATTCTATTTCTTGGCACAGCTCTGTTCTAAAGACGAGATTCAAATAGGAAGCAAATTAATTTCAAAGTGGAGAAATAAGGCAAAGATCATCTCCATTCAGTAGACAAAGGGGGATGAAGGAGGGAYGGGGTAGGGAAAGACGGTAGAATGAATCTGACCTAACTGTCCTAAGTACCTATGTGAATATATCACAGTAAATCTCACCATCATGTATATCCACAAGAAAAGAGGGGTGCTGACAGATGAGGGATCCGACGCATGGCCACCGGCCTCTGCATTTCACTGAAGCCGACACTACTCCTGCCCTCTGCCTACTAGAAAGGGCAGTTCCTTCTCTCTCTCTCTTCCTACCTCCATTCTTTCTTGCTTGATCGACTAAATGCATGTTCGCTTTGAATCATTAGTCTGTTTAGTGAATGTCATCACATGCTACATTTACAGTAGATCATATTCTTTAAAAGCAGCTTATTTCGGAGGTTTACAAAATAATTTGCTGATACATGTTTATTACAGCTTCAGGATTTTATCCTTAATATAAAAGTGTTTCTTAAAAAAAAAAAAAAAAAAAAGCGTCTCCGTTTAATTTGACATTAGCCGTGGTAGCCTGATAGGAGACTGCAGTATCAACATCCAAGGTTCCAACTCATTTGGCTAATAAGTTAGTGCTTAGGGCTTTGGCCTGGGGTGAGTTGGTTCCTCTTCCTATGGCTGCTGGCTGCTTGGGCTTCCTCACAGCATGGCGACTCATTCCAAGAATCAGTGCCCAGGAAAGTGTAGCCCACTCAAAGGGGGAAAATAAACCAAAAGAAACTGTCCCAGAGAATAACCAGACAGCAATTCCACCAGACAGTGACTTTGAAACAGTAGTCTTAAAGATGCTCA